ATTGTTCATCCCGGTGTCTCTTCCGCCAGCGCTGTCCATGAGCATGAAATGCACGTGGCTGATATTTGCTACGTTTGTACGAGGCGACTGATATGACGCCACAAAGGGTCGCAGCGCGCAAGGCGGGGCAAACCAGCATAACAATTCGAGTTGGATTTGAGACGGGATCCCACGTCGAGCTTCATATTTGACACCTAACGCGACCCCTATTACGTATTGCCAATCTATTAGAGAACCCGAAACGAAGTTTGTCACACAACGAAAAACAGAGAATGGCGCAGAGATATTCAATAAACAAAATTGTATGCGGAAAGGTAAGATGTCAAGTAACAGTGGATACTGGATCAGTACAATAAGTAATTGCAGAAGAGCTGTATGAAGAATTAATTGAGAGAGGCGTTAATGTGTTAGTATTGCCAACTAGCAACATAAAAGTAGTGGTCGCCTGGGGGAAAAAGTCCCATCTGATTACCTAACAGGCTATTCTCAAGATGGTGGTTAATGGCCGACCGTATGACGTGACGCGTTTAGTGGTGAAAACTATTTATCCTTTAATTATCGGTATTGATTTTCTGGCAGAACATGAAGTGATTTTTAATGTGGAAGAACAAAAAGTTATGATCAACGGGGAAAACGTGTGGGAAGAGGATGATGAAGAGGTGAAGAAGGAAGAATAGAAGATGAAGAAATGAAGCAGTTTGAAGAAATTGAAATGTGTCGTGTTAAGGAATATGAAGAATTAGTAGATCAGTTCAAGAAGAAAGTGACACACGGAAATTATTTAACCGTTGAGCAAAAACGCACTTTACTTCAGTTGTTAATACGGGCCAGAACTGTGGTTGAGAAACGAGAAGAACCGGTAAAGCGGTATGAGTTTCAAATCGAACTGTCAGACTCCACGCCATTCAAAGCCAAAAATTATCCTATACTCATTGCATATTGCGACAAATAAAAGTGCTGATTCAGCAGATGATACAGGAAGGATTAAGCCGAAAAGCAGCCACGGCAGAGAACACGTCGGGAACTATAATTTTCACAATCTTGGGCCAAAGTAATATTTTACGGGGAATAATGTTGAAGAAGGGGAAAGGGGATAATGTGGTGATTCGTCTATGGATCAAACGCTTCAGCTGCCCATGCAGCCGCCCAAACACGTCCCCGTGATCTAAGCACATCGCTTTGGCCAGTGCAATGAGCGCAGCCTAGTGTCCGCTGCCCAACTCAAACACCTGACTTGCGATTTATGCCGAGCGCAGTCGTGTGAAACTAGATAGGGCACATCCGGTCCTCATTCAAATTCCATACGATAGCCAATCAGAATTCAGCGGAACGCTATATACATCTGTACAACACCAACTCGCTCAAGCGGAGAATCGGTGACTACTTATTCATTTTGAATTTTTTTCGCAAACGAGCCGGTTGGTTACCGTTGGATTTCTTCCTCATTGACCATGCGTTGTATATTCACGTGCTGTTCGCAGGGCCGTTAACGCCATATCGCAGTCAATGAATTAGAGAAGTGAAGAGATTTACTGCTGTTTGAAGTCTGAAGCGTTCGAGAAGATGCTGGGTGCATAACTGTAAAAATGCGAAAGCGATTTAGAAATTAAACACGTTTATTTGGGTTCCCAAGAAACGTGAAAAAGTGAGTTACATTTATTTTATATTTCGTTTTTATGCATGTAGTTTGGTCTAAACCCAGGCTACACTGTTGATGGTAAATTTATACTTCATTGTAAAATTTATAGAGAATATGCTACTAAAAGTCTAGGGTGATAATTAATTGGTGTTTACAGAAACTAATGCCAGTGAATGGTTCACTACAGCAAGTGTGACTGCTACATTTGCTGCCTATATTCATGGTAAGTTTTTGCCGTGCAAGCGCATTAATTCATTCATTTGCAATTATTATTATTATTTTTCAATTGCAAATTGTGGAATTTTTTTAATGTTAATGTTCATTTGCAGATCCCTTGTTTGCAAAAACCGAAGTGACATCCATTATAGCAATGGGTGTAATTAGTAAGAATTTTTTAATAGAATATATGTAGATTATGAGGTTTAAATAGCATATATTTTTATAGTTTTAGTTGAATATATAGTTTGATGGGAGTCTGTTACCAGCAATTTTTAATTTTCAGATCCTTGTACACAGGCAGCTTTTCAAACTGAAATGGTAAGTCTCTTGTATGTTTGAAGTATGCAAAAAGAAGCATGCTATAAAAAGCATAATGTACTGGTAATAATTTGTTGTTGATTAATACAGGCTCTAGTGCTGTTGAACATGCGGCGGCGATGGTGTGAATCGGCGGCGATGGTGTGACGGTTGGCGTACCGGACTGTTATACCCAAGCTCGCGGGTTCAAACCCGATCGAAGCCGTGGATTTTTCGGGCGACAAAATCCTTCGTACGCCTGCCTTCGGAGGGGAAGTAAAGCCGGCTGTCCCATGTTGGTAGATTTACTTGCATGTGAAAGATCCTCAAGCCTAAATGACGCTTCTGAGCTAAATTCAAAATCGCCTGTTTCTCGCCCAAGAAATACCTCCTTTCTCTGCTAGATGAAAGGAGCGTAGCGAAATTTGCGTGGTCAGACGGAAGAGCGGGCCTGATGGACCGAGTCTCGCCACGTAAAATAAGGCAAATTCAATTCAAGTCAACATGCTGCTACAGCAAGTTCAGCAATGCTTATGCTAGCCTTGTGAAAGGTAAATATTTGCAATAATCTTTAAGAATCTCAATTATTACTTTGTTGCATTTATTGAAGATGGGATAGATTTCAAGTTTATCTCCATTTCCAAATCTTTTTCACCCATGTGAGGTGTCACCTCAAGTTTTTATGGATGTTTCTCATGGTATGTTCCTTTCATTATACAGTTTTTAGAATCAATTATGTGTAAATTATAGAAAATAAAAAACAAATGTTTTTGTGGTTGGTGACTACAGATCCTTGTACTTCTGAACAAGTGCAAGAAGCCATTCTGGGAGATGAATCTGCGACTTCGGTGTGTAGTAAGTGCAAGATATTCCTGTGCTTTCTAATTTCGTAATTCTAGATGGTAAATTAAACGAAACTTTTCTTTTTGATACAGATTTGTTTTCAGAACATTCATTTGAGGACATAGTATCTTTCATAACGGCATTTTTTTCTTTTCAGATCCTCTTCCAGAGATGGCTTCTGAAGCATGTATATTAGACCCTACGAGGTTGACCCTAAGTGGCTTTAAATTATGGTTCTCTTTGAGGAGCCAGAACTCAGAGAGATAATTTTAAAGAATTATTGTTATAGTCAGTGAATGATATGCTTCATTTTGCACAAAGTTTCTGTACATATCTCTTTTACGCTGACAGTTTGTAATGATATAAAAACAAGTTTTAAAATCAATGTGGATTCTCTCCTTGGATACAGATTCATTACATAAACCGTATTTCCCACATCTGATTTGGAAAGTTCTAATTAAATTAAATCTAAAAATAAAATTGATGATTTTCTCAATATTGGAATGCCTCTTGCTATGTTAAGACACTTTATTTGAATATTATGAATACAAAGGTTTTAAGTTTCTGTTTCAAAGGCTATTTTCATGCAATTTTAGAATTTCTTTAGTGCTTATTATCTGGTCTGTAATTTTTCTTTTTTATTAGTATTAATTTTTATTATTAGTATTGATATAAGTTGTATTGTTTTACTGTTCTGACAATAATTGTTTCTCATGACAAACACAACCTTGATTCAATTTATATTCTACTATGTTTGTATCATTTTGTTCATCCCCATGGCAATTACTTTCTGGATTTGAATGCTGATTCTTATTAGATTGTAAATTGTTATGAGTCGTGAATGCAATACTTGATTCCATAGCTCAGTTATTAGGACATCTGCCCAGTTATCAGAAGGTCTCAGGCTTGGCTCCAGGTGCAATCAAATATTTGCACTTCGACAATCCATTTCCAGAATTAAATTGTGGTGCATAAGCATTGATAGAATTCCACTATTTGTAAATATTGTTTTAAAAGTGAATGTACTTTCACAGTGGATCCCATTTTTAAAAAGCCAGGCTCTGAACTGTGCATGTGTGAGATTAGCATTGCTAAATAAAATAATTTTGTCAAATATTTATTGACTAACAAAAAACATTTTTAGGTTGCAACTAGTAAAAGCGGTTCTTTCGAGGCATGCAGAGAATGCTAAAAGTGGGACAATGCTCAAATGTTCTGATAAAACTTTGAAAACAACCAAGAAAACAAAATACGTTCATGTGACCTAATCAGATACTACGGATCTTAATGTAACAATACATAATTAATTCGTATTCTTGGATTAAAATAAAACGTAAGGCAGTAATACCACTTTAAAAAAATGGTGAAAGTGATTTATTTTACTTATTGAAATGGGACAACGCGACTGACGCCGCGTTGGTCTCTGCCGCTCCATTTACAGGCCGCGGTTGGGGGTAGTGGAGGGGGCGGTTTCGCGCGCTGGCTTCCAGTCAGCCACCGTCCCGGACACTTCGCCCGAGACCTCGCCACTGAAGATGCCCACCGCAGTCGTGGGCGAAACGTTTGGCATCTCAGAGCCAATTGGACCACGGCCCATCAGCCCGGAAGACATAAAGAATATTGACTCCGGCCTTGAAAGCCTACAATGCTGTATAAATAAGGCTTTTCCTTTTAACATTGAGTGCCGTCTCTGAAATATAGAAATTTTGGTCAAGCTCGAGGGGTCAGTCGGAAGTGACGCGGTACCACCCCTCCAGGAGAGGCTGACAGCTGACCCCTCCTTCTTGGTGGTGTCGTCGAGGAGGCTAATTGTTCAGTCGCCGTTGTGATCGTTCAGTCAGAGTAGTGGACGCCATCTTAGCAGGTGTGAGAGGCAATATCAGTTAATAGTAGAGAAAGTAGTTAGGAAGAGGTAGAGATAATGTTCATATTCGACTAGTGAGTTTAATAGTAATTTTGAACTGTGGATATTTGTGAGTGAGTACGAGGCGGAATAGTAGTCGCGAGTTGCATATTTAAGTTGCTGTGAAGCGAAAGCAAGAACTAATTCAAAACAGGCATATAATTGAGAGAGCACCGCAGACTATGCCAGGGACAGAAATACGCCGTGTGTCATACACGCCTGAGGACTCAGTGATACGCGTCGGCGTGCCGTATGAGAAGAGCGGCGGAAGAGGAAAGAAGAGGTTAATATTCTATTCCGGTGCCGGGAGAATCAAGAGAGAAGAATTTGGGAGCAGGTTCGGCCTAGATCTGGCGGAGGGCGAACGAAGGCGGCGCTTCGGGAGGCACTGCAAAGCTGCTAGTTCTGCATGGAGGGGACAGCGCGGTCCGATTATAGGCCAAGGTAATGGGCCCACGGTGCGGACTTCGCTGGCGAGGCTTACGACGATCAACCGACGTAAGCGAGCGAAGAACTTCGTAACAGAATACGCCGTAACGGTACTTGAGAGGCAGGGGTAGCGACGAGGGCACAACCTCTGCTATTATTAGAAAGAGTTAGGCGCACGGCTTAAACAAGTTTTGTAACTAGACAAAGATCGAGGGAAATAAGCTGTAATATAGAGTAAGAAATTTAATAAATTGTTTGTGCGATGAGAATTCAATGAACCCCACGTAAACCGCTAAACACGTTCATTCCCTAATATTCATTGGGAAAACCAGCCAAGTTTACATATTGAAATTATTAAAACATGGTTATTGCAGGGAATTGTTGGTTAATATGTTAAATACTCTAATGTTTAGAATCATTGTGAAAAACATTTCGTGACGTGTATATTTGATTTGGATTTTTTTAGACAAACTCGGACGGAGAAAATTTTAACTTCTTAATTTGCAAACGTTTGCTGGTTTAATTATTTGGTAGCGACCGTATACGGTATTCCTGATATTATGATATATTAGATTATAGATATTCCTGAATTATCTTATTCTATGGTTTTTACTTTCACAAGCCAATGGCGTTAATCCCAAACATTTAGCAGCAGAATGTTTTAACAAATGATGTGACATTTTCTTGTTTTTCTCCAAACAGCCTAAATGCAAAAGTCCCTTTTTGAAACTAGACCACTCAATTAAGTGTTTTCGGCCAACTTTTAATTTTTACATATGCAGATTGTTCCACGTGAGTTGGGGACTTTAGTTTGGTTTACAAATAAATAAAATTGTGTAATGTTTTGGTGCTTTAGGTCCTGCTAATGCCGACTGAAAACTTTTAGAAATCTCCAAAAGGCATGGGCGGTCCAAACACCGCTGCGCTAGCTAAATAATTACAAAAAGTTCTTGAGTGGTGCAGGGTTAACATATATTATTGTTATCTCCACACTATATAAAGTATATTTTTAATTTCTAAAATAATATCCATAAGATGATCAATTTTCTAATTTCTTCTGAATTGAAACATTTGCTTTCATCGTGAAACCGAATTTTACATCGCTTTATGAAAAAAATTGTCAACACAAATGTTAAATGCAATTTAGTGGATTTTAAGGCACTGTAGACTGCATAAAATATTTACTTAGACTGGGAATCAAACAAGCTGCTTCACGAGTTCCAGAACAACTCTTTGACACTGAGCCATTTTTTCTCACTCCTAACACTCCTCTTATAATAACACATTTTATATAAACGAAAATTGAAAGAAACATTACGTTTACCAAAATTAATGTCAATTTAGTTTCATTGGCAGGAATCACATAATTCTTTTTCCTCTGTACTACTACTATTTATCTCTCAATGGATGTTACATTATTTTATACGTTCTTCTATAAAATAAATTAAATATTCATAGTTCGATCTACATAACGTAGTTTCGAAAATAAACGTTAGATAGTGCTGTCGGCAAGCAGTGATGTCCAGCGCCATCAAACTCTTGGGCCAATGCATTTTTGACACGAAACTTTGTTTCCAAGAGTGTACATCATCTCGCGGGTGGGTGACATGATGCATTGTAGCAGTTTTCTGATTCTTCGATCCATGACTCGAATTTCTTGCTCAGTCCAGTCCACGAGTATGAAACTGTACTCGACTACAGGCTCCACCAAACTACCAATT